AGCACTAAATTTTGACATATAAATTGTCTTGGTACAAAATAAGGGGGTGGCCAACGACACGCACCTGTTACATGGGGAAAAGTTAACTTGCGTACGTAATAAATCTCTTCATTATTTTGTTCAATTTAATGATAGTGTTGACTTTGTGACGTTCGGGTGATTTTTGCGATATTCCTCGACGACTTGCAAAATATGCTGTCTGGTTTCCTCATTTTGCGTGAACGATGAATTGTAATCGGTCATTAATTTTTCACAAAAAGTTAACATTCTGAACGTTTGAAGAAATTTCAATGCATATTAGGGATACTTCCCATACAAAATGTCGTTTTTGAGCGAAAAATCCAAAATTTTGTTCGGGAGGTACCCCTAATATGCATTAAAATGTCCTAAAACTCCCAGAATGGTATTTTCGTGTGATAAAAATAACCTGTGCAAAGTTTCAGCTCATTACGATAACATAAAGGCATGGCTTCCATACAAAAATCCAATTTTTTTGAAATCTATATTATAAAAACGAAATGCCATTATTTTGTCCTTAACTCCTCTCACAATTTTCAACCGATCTGAACCGAACTTTGCACCCTTATACTTTGGACCGAGATCTAGGTCACCATGAGGTTTTGGACCAAATTGGACTACTCCATCACGGTCGATTTTTATTTTTCAAATATTTGTATGGGCGATGTGAAAATTTGTAAATTTCATGATCAAATTCGGATTCCTCGGCCCAAAATTATGGGAGAGGGGTGCTTTTGAAATTGGTTTAACAGCCATCGTTGTCTAATATGAGTTAAAACGTTTTAACATCTTTTAACACGGTAAACGAGGTCAGAAGCATGGTCCATCATGGTCTAACACGATTTAACACGGTAAATGAGGTTGGAAATCATGGAACATCATGGTCCAAATTCATTTAACACGGTAAATGAGGTCTGGAATCATGGTCCATCATGGTCCAAATTCATTTAACACGGTAAATGAGGTCTGGAATCATGGTCCATCATGGTCCAACACCATCTAACACGGTAAATGAGGTCAGGAATCATGGTTCATCATGGTCCGAATTCATTTAACACGGTAAATGAGGTCTAGAATCATGGTCCATCATGGTCCAAATTCATTTAACACGGTAAATGAGGTCAGGAATCATGGTCCATCATGGTCCAAATTCATTTAACACGGTGAATGAGG